GCAAAGTGTTACTTGGGGCATTTAGTGTGGCGCCATTCTCGCCCGTTCGCTGGCCTTCACCCATTCACACTCGCTCACTCTTTTAAACTGCATTTTATTTGCACCGTTGCTGTCGTCGTTGCCTGTTGCTTTTGTTGGCATGTCTCTCTTTGGCTCTTCTTCTTGGCCGGTGGTGGTGGGGGGTGGAAGCATTGGGCATACAAAGAATCGTCTTCTTCTATAACACCACACTCGAGTTTTCAAGGAAAGCAACGTCAAATAAAAAAAAAACAAAATTAAAAAAAAATGTCCGCTGGAGCTCCTGCCACTCTCCCACTCAACCTCATGCGCAGCCGCAGGGCGGAGGAGGAGAACAAAGACGTCAGCACCACGGCGAATCGATTCCGTGAGCGGTTTGAGGGAAAAGATGCGTCCGTCAGCGGGCGCAAGGCGGAGACCACAACGATGGTGAATGAGTACTACGACATCGTGACAGACTTCTACGAGTACGGCTGGGGACAGGGCTTTCACTTCGCCCCGCGCTATCTCGGCGAGTCGCTGCTTGAGTCGCTCGCCCGCCATGAGTTCTTCCTGGCGTACCAGGGACAGTTCAAGCCGACGGACACGGTGCTCGATCTGGGCTGCGGCGTGGGGGGTCCGGCGCGCAATATTGTGCGCCTTGCCGGCTGCAACGTGATGGGGGTCAACAACAATGAGTACCAGATCAGCCGAGCCCGCCGCCACGACACCAAGTACGGCATGAACAGCAAGATCAACTACACCAAGACCGACTTCTGCAACATGTGCTTTGGCGATAACGAATACGACGGTGCCTATGCCATTGAGGCCACCTGCCATGCCACGGACAAGGTGAAGTGTTTCAGCGAGGTCTTCCGTGTCATCAAGCCCGGCAGTTACTTCGTCCTGTACGAGTGGTGCATCACTGAGAAGTATGATCCAAATAATGAGGAACACCGCCGCATTCGCCACAAGATTGAGCTTGGTGATAGCCTTCCTGACCTGGAGACCAAGGGCCAGGTGATTGAGGCGCTGAAGGCATCCGGCTTCATTGTAGAGGACAGCTTCGATGTGGCTGAGCGTTTCGAGTCAAGTCCGATCCACAACCTACCATGGTACCTGACGCTGCAAGGGAACTACACGACGCTGGCAGGCCTCAAGTGCTCCCCGTTGGGCCGCTGGTTTACGAACAAAATGTGCCGCGTGTTGGAGTTTGCTGGCCTTGCACCGAGTGGCACACACAAGGGGGCGGAGATCCTTGAAGAGGCCGCAAGGAGCCTTGTGAGTGGCGGTGAGTCGGGCATCTTCACCCCGTCCTTCTTCGCGAAGGCGCGCAAGCCACTCCCTGGTGAAAAGCCGAGGAAGTAGAAGCATGCGAAGGCAAAGGAATCCATGCATGAGGGATAATATAGGAGGCCGTGTGTGTGTGCGAGGGCACGGCTAAAGTAAAAAAGAAACAACTTGTTTTGTTTTGTATGCCTTGGCAATGAGAAGACTTACAGATGGATGCAGCCAAAAGGACCTTCATGAAAATCAACAACAAGAAGTGGAAAAGAAATTTTAAAAGGGAATTAAAAAAAAAAGAAGAACTGAAGACGTGGAAAGGGAGAAACGGATGGAGGTGAGGGGAAAAGGCAACAGAACCCTGCAGCCGGCGGGTATAGGTTTGTGTATACATGCGTACATATGTAATTCAAGCGTGCACGAGGATGTGATTGTCATGGGTACGGCGAGGAGGCGGAAGTGTTTTTTGGGTTCCTGCCGCCACCACCACCACCGTTCCACTTTCCTGTTGTCCCATCTTTTGTTTTTTGTTTTTTTTTGTTTTGTCTTTTGTTCCGCGAAATGACGCTTCAGTTGTTTTTGGCCGACACGTCCCTCTGCGTCTTGTGTGGCCGCGAGAGCACCCCCGTTTGGCCTTTTGCTTTGCTTCTCTCCGGCCCACAGCGGGGGCCATCGCGGAATTCTTTTTTCTTCCACGCGGCCCGCTCCACTCCTCCCCTGTCTGCACGACGAACTGTTCGAAACGGGGGACGTGTGGCTGATGGCGGAGGCGCCATGAAAACACCGTGAAAAAAGAAAAAAAAAAGGGGAGAGAGTGAAATAACAAAAGGAAAAAAAGCGTAAGAAATAAAAGCTTGTAGTGGAATGCTGATTTTTTTTTTTTTTTTTGGTTAATCTACTTTTGTTTTTTGTTTGTTTTTTCGGCAATGCAAAGTGTTACTTGGGGCATTTAGTGTGGCGCCATTCTCGCCCGTTCGCTGGCCTTCACCCATTCACACTCGCTCACTCTTTTAAACTGCATTTTATTTGCACCGTTGCTGTCGTCGTTGCCTGTTGCTTTTGTTGGCATGTCTCTCTTTGGCTCTTCTTCTTGGCCGGTGGTGGTGGGGGGTGGAAGCATTGGGCATACAAAGAATCGTCTTCTTCTATAACACCACACTCGAGTTTTCAAGGAAAGCAACGTCAAATAAAAAAAAAACAAAATTAAAAAAAAATGTCCGCTGGAGCTCCTGCCACTCTCCCACTCAACCTCATGCGCAGCCGCAGGGCGGAGGAGGAGAACAAAGACGTCAGCACCACGGCGAATCGATTCCGTGAGCGGTTTGAGGGAAAAGATGCGTCCGTCAGCGGGCGCAAGGCGGAGACCACAACGATGGTGAATGAGTACTACGACATCGTGACAGACTTCTACGAGTACGGCTGGGGACAATGCTTTCACTTCGCCCCGCGCTATCTCGGCGAGTCGCTGCTTGAGTCGCTCGCCCGCCATGAGTTCTTCCTGGCGTACCAGGGACAGTTCAAGCCGACGGACACGGTGCTCGATCTGGGCTGCGGCGTGGGGGGTCCGGCGCGCAATATTGTGCGCCTTGCCGGCTGCAACGTGATGGGGGTCAACAACAATGAGTACCAGATCAGCCGAGCCCGCCGCCACGACACCAAGTACGGCATGAACAGCAAGATCAACTACACCAAGACCGA